GCCTGGCTGGGCATTACCTAGGCACTACCTATTTATACCTAAGGGAGCATTTCCTAAGGTCGTTCATGTACATAAACACAGTACAGCGATTAAAGTCAGGAAATTTAACACTGATGCAATACCTTTCTCTACTCTACAGACCTTATTTAAATTCTACCAATTGTCCCCATATAGCAGGTATATTTCCTGAGCCAAGATCCAGCCCAGGATCACACATTGCATTTAGTTTCCACATTATTTAGGGTCATTTAATCTAGAATAGTTTCTCAGCTTTTCTTTGTCTTTTATGATATTGATATTTCTGAAGAGTAGAGACCATTTGTTTTGTAAAATGTTCCTCAATTTAGGTTTGCCTGAAGTTGCTTCATGATTACAGGGTTATGCATTTTGCCTGAGTTGGTGAGGGGTGAGCAGAATAAGTGATGATGTGTCTTTGTTGTGTTATATCAGAAGACACATTATATCAGGAGACAAATTGGTTTGTCCCATTATTGGTGATGCTAACTTTGATTGTTAAAGTAGAGTCTGCTAGGTTTGTCCAGTGTAAAGTTATTATTTTTTTCTTTGTGATTAATAGGTAATTTGTGTGAAATTAGTTTGAACTATGTAAATATTCTATTCTTCATCAAACTTTCACTTACTAGTTTTGGCATTCACTGAAAATTTACCTGAGTCAGTTATTACTATGATGGTTGCCAAATGTTGATTTTCTAACTCCATCATTTCTTATGGATTTATTAGCATTTTAATATAAGGAAGAGATTTCCTTCCTCTTTCTCTCTTTATTTCCTCCCTCCCTCCCTTTCTTCCTTCCTTCCCTCCTTCCTTCCTATGGACTGTGGGTCCTTATTTTATTCAGTGGGTTCTAATCCATTGCTGTCATTCTTTATTTTGTATCCCATTGGCTAAATTGGGCCAATGGAAGCCTTTCCAGCTGGCTCCTGTAACCTTTGGACATATTCCCGGTCATTTTTTGAGTACTCCCTTACTTTCTGGGTCAAGATATTTAGGTTCGTTTTGTGTTTTCCCTGTCCCAGCTCTGAAATAAGACATTTCTCTAAGGCATTCTAGTTCCTTTCATTGGAGAATGGTATACAGAAACCCAAATCTGGGCACTAAATATGCTTATTGCTACTGAGGGTCATTGCTTCTAGGTCCTGTGAGAAGTTCATACTGTTATCCAATTCTGATAACTCCAATTCCAACCTAAAATCCCAGGGATCTTTCTAGTCTTCCCCTGTATCATAATTACATCTTCTTTCTCCAGCAGTGAGAAATCTGGCTCCTAAGATTATCGGTATATTTACTCATTTTTCTTAGCCTTACCATGTATAGAAAGTAGCCTCAGAATTACTAACCAATATCACTGTAAAAACAAACCTCTAAGTAGAATTCAAGGGTTTCCTATGTTTCTTTTGTTCTTCTACTGAGAATAAATAAACAAGGTATTGCGATCAAAAGTTAGTTGGATTTGTTCTTCAATCCTCCCTCTCAGTGTAATTATGTTATTTATTTGAAATATAGTTAGTATAGTTAGGCTCGTTCGTTTCTTTTTGTATGCCATTATAGGGTTCCCTATCTTTATTGATTGATATTTTTTTTTACTATGTAAAACATGAACATGGTTCTAAAGGCCAAAACTATACAAAAAGATACACCCAGAGAAGTGTCACTTCCTCGCTCATCCTCCCATCTTGTTCCCACCTATCTTTGCAGGTAGCTAATCTTATTTGTCCCTGGTTTTCCCCTCTGGTGTGTTTTTTGTTGTTGTTGCTGTTGAAAAAAAATAAACAGATAGATGTTTTTATTTCTCTTTCTTGTGCCAAATGTATATTACATATGTTCTTCTGTACTTGGCTTGTTTGGTTTTGTTTACCAGCATCTCCTGGAAGTCAGCCCTACCAGCTTATAGAGATCTTCCTCATTTTCACAGCTGCATAGCACACTATGTGTGTGATATATGTTGCAAATATCTTCTCTCAGATTGTTATTTATGTTTTGGCTTTGTTTATGGTATTTTTGCTATATTTTTACATAATTGAAATTATCAATTTTTTTTATTGCATTTGGATTTGAATTATAGAGAGCCTTTTGCTATATCCAGGTTTTAGAGGAATTCATCCATGCGTTTTGAACTCCTTTTATGGTTTTCTGCTTTACACTTAGATCCTAGATCAAAGATCCAAACTCATTTGGAGTGTATTCCTGTGTTTGGTGTGAGGTGTGGGTCTGATTTTATCCTTCTCCAAATGGCCATCCAGGTGTCCCAGTGCTGTTTATTAAAAAGCGCATTGTTGCCCCAGTCATTTGAGACGCTGGAGGAGTTCACCATACGCTGGCCTCGGTTAACATCAGATTATTGGCTACACTGTCTTCCTGCTGTTCCTCTGTGGCATGGGGCTAGTAGTGCCCACGTTGCGGGGTTTTTGTTTTACGACAGGATAGCTGATGTGAGCGACCTAGTGTAGTGCCAGCCTGTTAGCGCCTGCTGGAATCGTTGCCACACCGGTACCTGCCTTGTCAGGCCTTGTTGCTCTTCTCTCTTTATCGTTTTGCCTTTCTCTCTCCTGCCTCATTTGTCCCTGCTGTATTCCCTCTTATGTCTGCTTTGTTTTACCTTGGTGTCTGTTGACTTTCCAGTTTTGTGCCTTGTATACAATCTTGCCCATGATAGGAACTCGCTCTTGAATGAATGATTCAATGATTGTTGGATTGATTCTTGAGAACCCTTGTGATGATGTTTTTTTCCTCACTTCTTCTTAACTATGCCTTTTCTTTCCCTTTTCTCCAGCCTGGGTCTCAGCCTGCCTGTGGCGTTGATTTTCCTGTCTGTAGACTCAAGGCTCTGGGCCTTGATGACTCCTCGTTTCCCTGGTTCACAACAACGTTACATGTGGGCTGTCGACACTTTACAGATGTTAAGAAAGATCAAATCTATTGCATACTAGTATTTTTAGAGCTTGTAATTCTTTTATTGAGTGAAATTAAATCAGTCTGACTCACTGAGCTCTCTCGTGAGCTCTGCTCTTATTACCTTCCTACAGATTATATTGTTCTGGGTTACTACATGTGGCATTTCCCCCCCTGCTTTGGTACTGGAGTTAAGTTAATCATTAAAAGAGCCCTCATTACCAGTGGTGCCCTTTCTTTAAAAGACAGAGGGAGTGTTTGCTCCCTCTGCCTGGTTGCGGACTTCCTGATCATGTACTGTTTGGAGGAGTTGAGGTACCGTATGAAGAAAGAACTCACCTCATTCTGACCCCCATTATCTTTCTCTTCCTTTCTCCAAGGGAAATGAGTACAATTCAACAATATAAACATGAGTCGTTAGAGCTAATGAGATAAATCAAGACAGCCTATCATTTATTAAATATTATTTCATGCCAGAAACAAATATATTATACACATGAAAGACACACAAAGCAGGATAGTACAAAGGCCTGACTTTGAGTCCTACTCTGGAGTAACTAGCTCTGTCATCCTGAGAACTCGTAGGAATACTTATCCTCTCTAGGGCTTGTTTCCTCACCTGCAGAAATGGGTGCACGAGGAGGACCTCCCTCATAGAGCTGCTGTGGTTGTAAATGAGAACACGTGTGGAAGTCCTTAGCACAGGCTCTGATTCCTCATAAGTGCAAAATAATGTAACTTTTGCCGTGACGGCATTATAACCACTTTGTGTAAACTCACTGCTCCAAAGGGAAGCCTTGTGGCTTGGAGATGGAAGTCTCAGTTCTGTAAGTACCCGAGGATTGTGTCATTGAGCCTTGCTGATTTGAATCTGTTCTTTACAAAGTGAATATTTTTTTAAGCGTGCCTTTTTCTTTTATTATTTAGAGTTCTACCTTCTCATCTCTTGCTGTGGTTTTCACAAAATCTGCAGGAAACAAAATCCTAAGCCACCTGCCTCTTCGCAGTTCTCTGTTGTGGTTCTTTCTCCCCTGACTAGAAGAGGATTTCGTGTAGGAAATTTTCTTTGTTCTCTTTTCTTGGAGTCTCTCTGTTTGTTTGCTCATCTTTCCCTGTCCCTCTATCCTTTTATCTGTCCACTTATTATTCTGTTTTGTTCCCAAAAGCGTTTGAGGCAGCTGACAGAGTAACAGAATACCAAATAAGCAGGTGAGAAGATTGGACCAAGACTAGACAGCAAGGGTAGGAGGTGGTCTTGCATGAGTGTTGTGGGCAGGGTGAGATGCACGCCTTTGCCCTGGAAGTTATAAAGATTGGGAGCAAACGTGTGCCCTAGCCTCCAGCAGACACAAGGGGGACAGGATTTGTGGGGGGTGCTCACTGTCTGTGAGATAAACAAGTGGTTTAGGAGAGGGCCAGCTTTTCCTGCTCCTGAGGCTTAGGAGAATATTTTTTGAGTGTTCTATGAAATCAAAGAATATTTCATCTTTTTTTATGTCAGAGTTCTATGTGTAGTTGATTACATTCGGTAAATGGAAATTTCTCCAAAACTCTCCCCATGTGAGTTTGATGGCTAGGGAATTACGTGGTTCTGCTTATTGACAGGGGTTGGCCAGAAATAGAAAATGACAGCCACAGAAAGGATATTAGTATTTATAAGTTATTTTTTTTAGTGCTGTACAGTTGAGAAAATGCTTTCATATAGTTTATCTCCATTTGAGGATACAATATGGTCTGCCAGCATTAAGAGCTTAAAGCCCTGAGATAATGTGTGCTGAGTGCATTGTCTTCAAGACAACTAAGCTAGTTTTTGTAGACATGTTACTTGTATATAATGCATTTCACATTCTTTAATAAAAAGTTTCAGTAGGGAGGAAAACTTATTCTGAGTTAATTAACATTTAATACAATGCTTTGATGGTAAGGCTATTATAGGTAGTACATAAGCTGTGAAGAGTTTAAAGACGGTTTCATTATTTAAATTTTAGTAGGGAATATTTAAGTTTTATCTTGTGCCCCTCTTTTAAACTAACAAAGAAACAAGACAGAAAAAGCAAAAGATTATTTCTTTTCTTCCTCTTGCTTTGCAGGTGCCCTAACCACCAATGGCATAAATCCCGACACCAGCGCTGAAATTGGACGTGCTAAGAACTGTCTTAGCCCTGAAGACATAATTGACAAATATAAGGAGGCCATTTCCTATTACAGCAAGGTGATCTGACTTTGTAAATCCTTTATGTAATTGTGTGTTGTAATGAGAAGTTCCTATTTTACGTTGTGTAATGCTGCAGAATCTCCTAATTACTTGTTTCTATAAATATTCATGTATTATTCCCTAATGCATAATTCTGTATGCCTAAAAATGTTTTTTTTTCCTGATTCAAAATAATGTGTATTGGGCCGGCCCCGTGGCTTAGCAGTTAAGTGCGCGCGCTCCGCTACTGGCGGCCCGGGTTCAGATCCCGGGCGCGCACCGAGGCACCGCTTCTCTGGCCATGCTGAGGCCGTGTCCCACATACAGCAACTAGAAGGATGTGCAGCTATGATATACAACTATCTACTGGGGCTTTGTGGGGGGGAAAAAAAAAGGAGGAGGATTGGCAATAGATGTTAGCTCAGAGCTGGTCTTCCTCAGCAAAAAGAGGAGGATTAGCATGGATGTTAGCTCAGGGCTGATCTTCCTCACAAAAAAAACACAAAAAAACAAAATAATGTGTATTTAATTTAATAAGTTTGTAAAAAGAGGAGAAAGAGGCTGTCATAGCCCCACTACTCAGAGTTAATCATTGTTAGCATTTTAATATCAATTTCCTGGACTTTTTTTCAAGGTATGTTATCTATATCATGAAAAGTGGCTAGCATTCTGTATTATTTACTGTGTGGAGACCTACATTTTTCATTTGGCATATTATGTTTTCTACATTATTAAATCTTCCATGGCATGATTTTTTTTCCCCCCCGAAGCCCCAGTAGATAGTTTTGTGTCATAGTTGCACATCCTTCTAGTTGCTGTATGTGGGACGCGGCCTCAGCATGGCCGGAGAAGTGATGCGTCAGTGCGGCCCCGTGCCGAACCCAGGCCGCCAGTAGCGGAGCGTGCACACTTAACCGCTAAGCCATGGGGCCAGCCCACATGGCATGATTTTTAATGACCTATAGATGCACCATTCTTTTTACCTTGGACTTAGAAAAATTTAAATTCCAAATATACTTTCTGAAATACTGAAAAAACAAACTGAAGTTGTATAGAAGAGTGGTATTAAGTAAAAAATGAAAGTCCCCTACCTCCCCTCCCCTTATTTCTTGCGAGTAACAACTATGAACAATTTGGTATAGATCTTTCATGACCTTTATGCCTATGAAATATATACCTGTATGTATCTGTATGTTTCATTTACAAAAATGAGATCATATTATGGATGTTACTCTGCTGCTTGCCTTGTCCGCTCAGCAAGATAGATGTCCTCCCCACTTCACACCTGCTTGATCCTTTCAGATAGTGTGAAAAAGTCTTCTAAAATGAGAATGTGGTCGTTTTTTTCATCAACACCTTTTGTGAGAGACTGTCATGAACTAGTCACGGGGAGCATGCAGCACCTAGAACAAGATGAAATGCTGCTCCCACAGGGCTCACAGCTTGCCATAATTTACTTAATTATCATCTCGTTGATGAATACTTAGGTTTTCTCACTTTTCCACTGTTAGAAAAAATGCTTTATTGAACATTTTTGTACATATATTCTTGTGTTCTTTTATGAGTATTCCTTTAGGTAAGATTTCTGGAAATTTAATCACTGGATATGACATTTACGTTTATCATATGTTACTTTCAAGTTACTCTCCAAATTCTTTCTCCAATAGGGAGTGGAAGATGTAGAATAATATATTTAACCAGTTCTCCGTTACTGAATATTATTTCCCTTCACTTTTTCTTCCCACTGTTGTAAACAGTGCTGTGATAAATGCCCTGATAGATAAATCTTTCGGGACTGATTTTAAGAGAACAATTCCTAGAAATGGATTTGAGTCAAAGAGTGTATGTGTGTGTATATATATATATTGTTTTTTTATTTTTTAATTTTTTTTTTGTAGGGAAAGATTTGCCATGAACTAACATCTGTTGCCAATCTTCCTCTTTTTGTTTTTTCTCCCCAAAGCCCCAGTACACGGTTATATATCCTAGTTGTAAGCCATTCTAGTTCGTCTATGTGAGCCGCCGCCACAGCCTGGCAAATGACAGACGGGTGGCGTGGTTCCACTACCGGGAAATGAACCCCAGGCTGCTGAAGCGGTGAGGGCACTGAACTGTAACCACTAGACCATCAGGGCTGGCTCGAAGAGTGTACATATTTTTTTTTTTAGAGTTTGTGTGCCATATTGTCCTCCAAAAAGTTTGTTAACAGTTTTTTTCTCCCACAAATGAACACTAGCTATTATATCCTTTAAAAATATTTGCCAATGTGATGGGCAAAAGTAATTTTTCATTATTTTAGTTTGCATTTGATTACCAGAGAGGTATTGAACGTTTGTCACTTGTTAGCCATTTGTATTTCTTTTATGAATTGTCCATTGGTGTCCTGTGCACACAGTTAAGTTAGGGTGCTTTTCTTACTGCTTTGTGATAGCTCTTTGTATTTGATGAATATTAGCTTCTTGTCTATCATCAACATAGATTGCAAATCTTTTTCTTAATGTTCCTTGCCTTTAATTTTGTTCATGAGGTTTTTCTTTTTGGTAGTGGTTAAAAAAGTGTTTTTAATATTGTAAATCTTTTCTTTATGGGTTTTACCTTTGGTAGTATGCTTAGAAATACCTTTTTATAATAGAATAAACTCTTTCCCTGAGTTTTTTTCTCTCTAAAATGGGGATGATAATAGTACGTATCTCAGGAGCGTAGTGAGGATAAGCTGAGTTAATATATGCATTGCTGTCATTAGTTATTTTTCAATATTTACATTGTTATCTATAATTATCTTGTGTACATTATGACATGAGAATATAATTTATTTTTTCTAGGTGATTATCTAATTGTCCCACCACAATTTATTGAATTCATACTGTTTCTCTCTATGCTATATACTCTTTCTCCTACACTAAATACTTACATTTGCTGGAGTCTAATTCTGAGCCTTTTATTCCTTTCTGCTAATCTATCTTTTTTGACTCCAGCACCATGATATTTTATCTATTGTAGTTTGTTTAATATCTAAAAGTGAGTCTTTTTTTTTTATTCTTTCCTCCCATCTCAAATTTTCTTGGCTAGTATTATGGCTTTACTATTCCTGTAGAATTCTAAAATATGTTGTTCAAGTTAAAAAAAATCAGATTTGAGTTTTCATGGGACTTGCAATAAGTTTTGAGTTATTTTTAGGGGAACTTCCATCTTTACAAAATTGCTTTCCTTTGTAGAATGTGTTAATGTCTCTACATTTACACATTTTAAGTCCCTCAAAACAGTGTTGTAGTTTTCTTCATGTAGAACATGAGCGTTATTTTTAAGTTTATTTATAGTCATTGTATATGTTTTTGTTAATTTGTGAATGAGATTTTTTTGCCATTATTTTAATTGCTTAAAGCTGATATGTAGAAAGGCAGATTGATTTTTTTAATATTCATTTTGTAACTGGCCATTTAAAAATTATAAGTATTAAGTATTTTTTATAGAGCCTTTTCTTTCCTATTTTTAAAAATTTGCTTCCAAGATTATCAAAAGGATCATAGCTGAGTTCTGTAGATGGGGAGAGGTGGTGTGGATCCATCAGTATTCCAGCAGGTTAGTGCTGCCTTTGGACTAGAGAAGCAGAGAGAGCCCAGGTTAGACCAGGGAAGGCTCTGAATGTGCACAGAAACCACACCCTCCTGTCTTTACGGTAAAGCCCTGTGGGCCTGGCAGGCAGATGCCACTTCACCGACCAAGTCTGATGGAAAGTTAGTGACTGTCTAGAGCATTGTGTCAGTAAGAATTTGAGACTTCATCTTGGTGGGAAAGGCTTGTCTGCCGTGGGCACAGCAAGGGAGCCAGGAGCCCATTTACCAGTTCTGGGAGTGGAGAGGGCAGACTCATGAGAACTGAATTTGAATCCTTCCTCTGCTGTTTACTGGCCTTCTGACTTTGGGCGAGTTATATGACTTCTTTGAGCTCCAGTTTTCTTTTCTCTCAAAATGAGGAAAGTAAGGCCAGCTGCATAGAGTTTTAATTATGGTAAATGATTTATATATATATAAAATGCCAAGAACAGTGACAGGCTCATTAGTATGGCTCAATAAAAAATTGGTTATCGTCTCTTCTTAGTTCAGTATTCAACAAGACATCTGGGGGGAAAACCATTTCCTAGTATGTAGGTGATGCAAGTCGAAAAAGAAAGTTAGTGTCTTGCTTTTCTCTGGGTGTATTTTTATTCCTTTGCTTCATTTACCTCTTTTCTCCTTTCCTTTCCTCTTTTACCTCCTCCACCAAAAGAGCCGGAGCCTTTCCCATGCTACCCAGAACACTAGATTAACATTGCTTTTAAGGCTGGCCCGTCACCGTGAAGTGACAGTGATATAAAAGATATTTGTACACTTCCCAGATTTGATTGTATTTGATTTGTATGCACACACACACACACATCAGGCTGCCTCCCACTTTCTGAGGGAGAAGCACCACCTTTTGGTTTTCATGCACTGACAGCAATAGCAAAGTCTTTTAAGCAGACTCTTGCCTGGCTTCAGGCATGATTTTTTTATTGGATTTCTCATTTGTGGCAAGGAAATTGTCTTCTATTAGAAGAGGTGAAATGGAGACATAGACATTCTACTGAGATATTGGTGTCATCATATTTTGAGTTGGAAGGAAACTTAGACAGCATATAGCCTTATACATTTTTATAGGTGAGAAAAGGAAGCCCGGAGAGGTCAAGTGACTCAATCAGAGTCACACCGTGGCTTAATTTGGACTAGAACCTAAGTCTTCTGTCTTCTTGTACACACAGAAAGAAAGATAGCTGGGTAGGGAGGGCAGAGGACCTTCCTCGCTTGAGTTCCAGTGTCTTGGCAGAGTTCTCAGTGCTCTCCTGCCTTTAGCTGATGTCCATGTGGCCTCTCCAGTGAAGGTTACTCTGCCCTGATAGATTGAGTTTCTAATCAGCAAGAAGTTCTGGACCCACCCATGTTTCCCAGAGCTTTTCTGCTGACCTGCTGACATTTTGTAAATGAGTCCTAAGAAACTGTTGGCTGTAAAGTCCTTGTTGTTAATAGTTGCCCTCGAGTTCCATATGTATGGGGTGCTAAGACTGTAGAAGGCTAGATGTGAACAAAGATAGGATGATAGTCCCTGGTGCTGAACCTTCCCTAGTGGAGTGGTATTTCCACCTTAGTTTTGGAGTCAGAGAGACCTGAGTTCAAATTCCGCCTTCACTAATTAACTAGCTTTGTGACCTTGGGCAAGAAGCTTTACTTTTTTAGTTTTCATTTCCTTTATCTGTAAATAAGGTTAGTATTTATTTTATGGTTTTTGTTTTAGAATGAGTGAGATAATTACCTCATTTATTCCTAAAATATTGATTGCATGTTCTATGCTGGGACCTTGGTAGATGATTACTAGGGACTCAGCATTGAAAACCAGGGCTCAGCCTGTGCATCATAGAGCTTCTGTTCCAGGATAATGGTTGTAAAAGACAAGATGTGAAGTAGGTTTTTAGTAAATGTCCACTCTTTCCTAATCCTCATTGATTGTGTATATCTTTCTACTAATATATGAACAATTTTTTCTGATTGCAGTAAATCTCTTGTAATATAATTTAAAATATGTAAATTTACAATTTTATTTATTTTTCCCCCAAAGCCCCAGTAGATAGTTGTATGTCATAGTTGCACATTTTTCTAGCTGCTGTATGTGGGACGCGGCCTCAGCATGGCTGGAGAAGCAGTGCATCTGTGTGTGCCCGGGATCCGAACCTGGGCCGCCTGCATCGGAGCGCATGCACTTAACCACTAAGCCACGGGGCCGGCCCTAAAATATGTAAATTTAAACCAAAAGTATGTGAAAAGAACTGAGTTGACTTTTTTTAAAAAAAATTATTTATTTATTTATATATTTTTCCCCAAAGCCCCAGTAGATAGTTGTATGTCATAGCTGCACATTCTTCTAGTTGCTGTATGTGGGATGTGGCCTCAGCATGGCCGGACAAGTGGTGCATCGGTACGCACCCAGAATCCGAACCCGGGCCGCCAGCAGCGGAGTGCATGCACTTAACCGCTAAGCCATGAGGCCGGCCAAGAACTGAGTTGACTTTTATTCTCACTTCAATAGAAGTTGTTTTAAGAGTTTTGAAGAGGTCATTTTATTCCAATAGAATCAAGTCTCTATGTTTTTTTTGTTGTGTTGTTAAATGGTATATAAAATCGATAGATTTCTGACTTCATTGTTGGTAGTTAGGTAAGTATAGCTGCTTTTTGTGATTGTCTTTGATAAACTGTAATGTATCACAAATTATGTGCATATTACACATTGGAAAGGAGGAAACAGTGGAGGCTTTCTGGCGTGGTAATTTCCTTTTCCACCTTATAAATAATTTTAGTAAGAAACATGAGCAATTCTTTCTTTGCTTCTTAATAATTGGTAGACGGCCAGACTGCATTTTCGTGAGCAGTTATGCCTGCTAGGCCTCTATGGGGGTCTCAGTAAACACTTGTTGATGGAGTGGGTTGACTTCCACAGTATTTTTAATGCCTCGGTCAGAGTATTAGGGGTCTCCCCAGCCTGGGGCTCTCTTTAGGCACTAGTATACATGGATTTACCTCTGTGAACCTTTTATTTAACTACAAGAAGTTCTTTCAGGTACATCAATTGAAAATCATCCCAGGTTGGGATAATCAGGAAAAAATAAAAATAAAAAGGGTTTGGAGTAGAAAAGAAGAAAGGCAGAAGAACAGCTGGCATGGAGAGTTTCACAGTGGAGCCCGGGGAGAGAGAGGGACATCGGAGGAAGGGAGGCCTGGGTACTGGAACCCCACTCCTTAGTCTGCTCCAGGGTCCGAGCCACACAGTGTTTAGAGTGGCTGAGGGCAGCTCTCCCGGCTTGAAGTTAGCTTGGGCAGAACCTTGAGAGCTGGAGGTGAGGTGTGAGAAATCCTCACCCAGTATTGTTATTGAGCAGTGAAATGAAGTTCACAGTGCCTTTTCTGTTTTATATGTCTTCGTTTGTCCTTCATCTCAGGATCTGAGAAGGAGGAACAAGTAACTCTGAGAGAAAATCAGAAAGACATTGAACATGAAATAGAGGACAGCTACAGTGATACAGGCAGCTGGAATTTTTAAAAATTATTTTATTGAGGTCATATTGGCTTATAACATTGTGTAAATTTCAGGTGTACATCATTATATTTCAGTTTCTGTATAGACTGCATCTTGTTGACCACCAATAATCTAGTTTTTATCCATCACCATACATATGTGTCCCTTTTGCCCTCAGGGAGCTAGAACTTTTGCAACAGAGTAAAATGAATTTACAACTACTGCTTTAAAGCTGCAGGTGTGAGAGATTCTAAAAATGTTTTAGAGTACAAGAGATGATAAGTGAAAATGAATAGCAAAGTATCCATTGATAATATTTTGAAATGTTGTAAAATATCCAGCTATTGTGGTTGTATTATTTGAACGAATGCAAACATATTTATATGGGTATTCATAGGTTCACCCACCCTCGTCTGCCCCCATAGGGACAGACTTTCTTTTTTTTTTTTTAATAATTTTATTTATTTATTTATTTTTCCCCCAAAGCCCCAGTAGATAGTTGTATGTCATAGCTGCACATCCTTCTAGTTGCTGTATGTGGGACGCGGCCTCAGCATGGCCAGACAAGCGGTGTGTCGGTGCGCACCTGGGATCTGAACCCGGGCAGCCAGCAGCGGAGCGCGCACACTTAACCGCTAAGCCACGGGGCCGGGACAGACTTTCTCAAAGGAAGATTCTCCCCCTCAGGTCCCTGTGATTGGGGAGGTAGAGCTGCGGGCCACTGAGTCCCCTTGGTACAGCCGTCATGCTATGACAGAAGCGTCTGTACTCTTCTTTTCTGACTGAGGGTTCTCCTTTATACCCTACAGTATAAGAACGCTGGAGTGATCGAGTTAGAAGCCTGTGTCAAAGCTGTGCGTGTCCTCGCCATTCAGAAGCGGAGCATGGAAGCTTCAGAATTTCTCCAGAATGCAGTTTACATTAATCTTCGCCAGGTGGGTGTATGTCCTCCTATAAGTGGAAGAGTTCATGCAGTTCTCCTGGAACTTGTTCACCTCAATCCATCTGTTTGCTGTGCTAGGATTCAGTATGGCATGGTAAAAACTCGGCAGTCAGAACTTGATATCCTAATTAATGTGGTTATTTGTTTTGCTTCTTTATACTGTTGTGTTTTACTTTGAAAATTCAGGATTTGCTATCCTTTTAATTTTTTTTTTGATTGGAGGAACACCTTTGCCTCTGACCAGCTTTGTGACCTTGAACAAGCTTTAGGCCTCTTTCCTTTTGTCACTTGTAACTCTGTGCAGGTTGTTAGGTTTATAAAACATGAAGTCTGTGAAAGTACTTTATATAGCTCCTTTTACATAGTTGGCATTCCACAAATACTACTTAAATCTGAATCTGGATGTGTTTTTAATAAAACAAAATCATTAGAACATTTAGTTGCAGGTTGCTAATGCAAAATCCCCAAATTGATAGTCTGGAAAGATTTTAGATGTTTAACCAATCTAGCTTGGATTTTTATGGATAGGGCAACCAAGACTCCAAAGTTTAGCAGTTTGCTTAAGGACCCAAGACTAGGATTAGAATATATGTTACTGTAATTGAACAGATCTTTACTGAGCACAGCATTGTGCTAGGAGTAGGGGAAAGAGAGGTGAAGAAGGCAGAAATTCTGCCTTCACTGAGCTGACAGTTTAGTGGCAGAGATAGACATTCAACAGTGGGGTAAGTGAAAAAAAGGTGGAGGTACAGGGTGACAAAGGAGCAAGTGGCAAAAGGGTTTTTACCCTAGTTTGGTGGTGGTGGAGGGTTGGGGGTCAGAGACTGTCTCGGAGGCATGAGGTTCAAGCTGGGATGTGAAGGAGGAATAGGAAATAGCGAGGAGAGGAGGAGGTGCAAACAGCATTCCAGGAAGGTGGCTCAGCAAGGGTGAAAGTCTGAAACATATCACCTGGAAGGAAAGAAACGAAGTGAGAGATGGGGCTGGAGAGAGAGCCTGAGGGTGGGAGACGGCCCCGAGTCAGAGCAGGAGGCTTTCTCGGCCAGGTGAGAGTTTGGAGTTTATTCTAAGAACAGTGGGTTTAAAAGAAAAGTCTTAAAAGCACGGGAATGCTATGACCCCATTTGTCTTGAGAGGGGTGAGATTGATGGGGGAAGGCCAGTCTGGAGACTCTTGAGGAGTCCAGGAGAGTGATATTGATGGCCTCCACCCCCGTGGTGCGACCGTCAATGGAAAAAAGTGAACAGATTGAAAACATGTGTTGGTGGTAAAAAGGAAAGGATTAATGACTGTATGTGAGGGTCAGATGGAATAACACCCAGGTTTCTGGCTCGATCAATTAGGTGAATGATGGTCATGCTGTGCCCTGAGAAGGGAAAGCTGCAGGGGGAGTTTTGGAGGGAAGGTGATGAATTCAGTTGTGGATATAATGAAAAGACTGTTAGGTATGTGGGTCTGGGAGACTCGGGTGAGAGTGAGGATAGTGGGTGGAGGAGAGGGGAGAGAGACTTTAAAATCATTTTGTATTTCGAACATATAAAAAAGTATGAATAATAAGATACTCATGCCTCTACCATCCAGATTTAACACATTATTTTGCCATATTGACTGCAGAGATTCTTAATTTTTTAAATAGAGATAAAATAACTTAAATAGAAACAAAATAACAGAGTTAATGAACATCTTAGTGTCGATGTGTATTCTGGTACATATTTTGATACCTCATGTTTGTAACCATAATCTATAAAAAGAGGAATATTTCAGCGTAATAGCGAAGCACAGGGACTTTGGAAACGCACTGGGTGGGGGCGTTGAATCTGGCTTCACCCCCTTGGGCAAGTTATTCAGCCTCTCTCTGCCTTAGTTCTCTCTTCTGTAAAGTGTTTTTACTGCCCTCAGGCCTCTCATCACAGCTCATTTCCTTGATTAGACAGACATCAAAAGGGAGGCTGCTAAGGGGAGACGGAATGGCACCTGGCGGCCTAACACCAAAGGGAGAGAGAAAAGCAGAGTAAAGCCAATAAACCAAGAACAAACAAACCAAAGAAAGAAAAAATCCCACCAGGTTTTGGTTCATTTAGTGTAAGGGAAACAATACCACGTAGACTCAAAGCTATTGAGTGTGTCCGTATCGTGGTTACGAATGTGTCATCAGAAAAGTGTTACGAAAAGGTCAGTGTCTTTTGGTTTATGTAGAGGTTTCTGGTAAAGATGAGTAGGAAAAGCAAACCCCACCGCTTCAGGGTGGAAGCTTCAGCTATATGGGAAACTGAGCAAGGGGAGGAAACCAGTCCTCAGGGGGGTTGGCAAATAAAGAACACAACTTCCAGGCAGTGGCTTTACAGGGGTGACTGGGGCATGATCCCTGCCTCTGAGGCTGCTAGTCTAATGACTAGGCCCTGAGCACACACAGTCCTAGTGGGATGGGTCGGGATATGGCCCAAGAAACCTACCATGCTGAGGGGGTGAGGAGGTCTCCCCAGAGGAGGTTCTCTCTGCCGAGAGTGGGAATGATTCACCAAAAGGGGCTGAAGAGCCTTTTGAGTGCAGGGGGACCAGGTGCAAATGCGTGACTGGGCGCTAGCACAGAGTGCCCTGTTTGGGGGCCTGAGTGATTTCGTTCTTGAGGGGCAGTGCAGGGAAGAGATGCTTAAAAGGGAGCCTGGGGTCAGAGGCTCTTGTAGGTCATGAGTAAAAATAAAGACATGTGGACGTCAGGCAGGCAGGAGAGGATCCTGTGGCATTCTCGCTGGGGAGTCCTGTTGGAGTTGAGGAGCAGAGTCAGTTGTGCTTGTGTTCACGCCCCACCTTTGCCACGCACTAGCTGTGTAACCTTGAGCAAAATCACTCCTCTCTCTAACTCTTAATATTTCCATCTGTGAAATGATAGACTAACAAGCTCGTACGGCAAAGGAAGGATCAGTTTAGATTGGATACTCTGTCCAGTGCTGTCTTAGCGTCTGCCCTGAAAAGTTACACAGCAGCTGTTGTTACAATCAGATCGGAGGGCTGAGAGGGACATCTTTAGTGACAGACTGGAGGGTGGGTTATGCTTTTAAAACGGACACTTAGAAGGGCTGAAGCTGCCACTGCAGACAGTTTGGTTGGAGAGGAGCTTTACAGGACTTGCAGTCTTTAGACTTGCTTACCTTTGCAAGTTAATGTTGAATATTTGGGCTTGCTGCGAAGCTGTTTGCACAGGTGGGCATTTAAATATACATATTTTATAGAATGAAATGTTTTTGCTTAAACTGTGTGGGAACTTGCTGTTTGGCACCGCCTCTGCCCTGTGTGCTCGGTGTTCACGACAACACTAGGGGTCAGCAGAGACTCGCGGAGGGGTGACTAACCGACCCGCCTGCTGCGGCGGGCGCCGCGCGAACGTTACTGCGCAGCCTTTTGAGTTTCCCTGTCACGACCCTCTGCTTTAGTTGACTCATCTCCGGGGTTGTTTGCCAGATGAGCAGACAGCAAAATAATGAGTTCTGGTGGGATTTTATAATAACAGTAAAAAGAGAGGTTTGTAGATTTTGTGAAATCGAACACGCTTTTGGTTCTTGATCAAGCGTGTTCCACAGTAGAGTCGATGAGTGGTTTCTGTGCCTGGGAGTGACTTTGGCTAATGTGGAAATTGTGAAAGGAACTGAAAGGTGACTGTTCCAGATAGCTCCTGCTTTAAGACACCCTGTGCAAACACGAAAGCTGATAAAGAAAACATTTGGATTTAGGGGTATCGGGAAGGGTTTCTGCATTTGACAGAAGTCAGGCAGAATTCCTCTTCTTTAGGTCAGGACATGGATCGACCTGTCTTTTCTTTCACTGTTTATGAGAGCAGTTTATGATCATTATCTGGCATTAACAAATGGCAGCACGCATGTCAGTTAATAACTGGCCGTCTATAAATTTGTGTATTGGACGTGTAGAGTTCACGGGTGAGGTAGAAGTGAGAGAGAAGGAGCACAGCCTTTGACACCCCAAGTTTAGGTTTAAATCACCATGTCCTCACTGTGTGACCCTGGACTAGTATGTAACCTTCCTTAGCCTGTTTGCGCATCTGTAAAATGGGAATGATGATACTCACTTCTTCCGAGAGTTGTTGTAAGTTGTAAATAATATTATAATGCCTGTAAAGTGCTTACCACACTGCTGGGCACGATGGAAGTGTCCAGTGTATGTGTCTGCCCCGCTGGTCATGTCTGCACGCAATAAAGGCAGCTCACGTTTGTTGAGGACCTGCTAACAGACACTTTCTGAGGTTGTGAATTTGGTTATGTCCTTTACTCCTTATAACCCTGTGTGCTAAGTGCAGTTATTTCTGTTTACAGAGGAGGAGCTTCAGGCTGAAGAAGGGCTATGTAGTTTGTTCAAAGTCAGACCATAATTTCAGAGGTGAAGGGGCCTCTGGAATGTGTGCTTGTTGCCACTTTCCTTCAGTCACATGGTCCATACCAGAAGCCGGGCCCTGTGTCAGCTGTCTGCTAGCTCTAGAATAGTCAGTGGGCAACAGCACAGACGTGGTCCTTGCTGCTTGAGCTTAGTAAAGTCCAGTAAAGTCCAGTAAAGTCTGGAGGGGGAGGCAGGTACTAAATAGATACACACAAAAATAAGTGAATACAAACTGCCATCAGTTCTGTAAAGGAAAGAACATGCCTTGCCGTGCAGAGCTGCTCTGGCGGTGTTAATCCCAGTAAAGTCTGTTCTGTTACCACACAAAAAAGACGGAAGGCAAAGCATGTCCATTATTAGATAAACTGAAGCTCATTGATAAGACTCATTGCGAGTTAAGCAGCCTGCGTGTTGCTAGCACTTCAGTGGGTGTGAACAGATATCGGCCATAATCATCACGACAACTTTCCTAAGTAGTTGGTTGTACCCAGTTTTAGAGATGAGGAAACTGAGGACAGGGTTTGCTGTGTGCCCAGGATTACCTTGTAAATACCACCATTGGTGTTTAAACCTAGTTTGTCGTGACTCTGAAATCCAACCTCTGTG